ACAGAGAATAAGGACCGACGGGTTCAGAGACGATCTATATTGCATATCTTTGTTTTTTATTTTTATATTAATCTATATTTTATTGATTTTGTTTTATGTAATTGTCCTATATAACTTGTTGATCATGCTTTATGTACTATATGACTTGTCCTATATCACAATGTGATCTGATGGGATTAATAAAGAATATTCTATTCTATTCTATTCTATAGCAGTAGACCCGTTGGATGGCCGCCAAAAAGGTGGAAAGATAATATACAGTCAAGAACGACTGAAACAGAATAAGAGGCAGGCAAACAGGCATAATCCTAGTCGCACAAAGAAGAAGAGCAATTCTATAAATAGAGAATTATGTGTAATGACAAGATCGTATGTTAAAATTTCAGATTGTTTAGTCTAATGAAAAAATAAGTATTTTGCAAAGATTTTTGTTTTTTGAAGTACTGTATTAGGTACTCTATGATAACAATAAAATTTTACTTTATTTTGTTAGACAACTATTCGCTCCGTGCGTGACTGATGCGACACCTATTGCCATCATCTGACAGTTTTGGACCTCCCAATTGGAGGTTAAACATACGTTAAATACATATGAAATTGACAATTATTAATAATTAGTTTTTTAATCATATTTTTTCAGTTTATGTACAAAATAAATGTAGTACTAAACACTGAGTTTCTAAAAATTCATCATAATTTATCTTTTCTACTCCAAACGGAAAAGAAAGGGAAAAATCTAGTACTGGCAAATCAATATTTTCATGTGGAAGAGCATGTAGTTAAAAACAATAATAGTAAAAGTTATAGTATAAAAGCTAATATCAATTAGGCAAGCTGCAGTTAGCTTGAAGCCCTATGAAATATCATTTTGGGTAAATTGTTTAAATTTTTTCTATTTCAATTGCATAAAAATTAAGTTACGTGATATTTACTTTTTCATATATGTAATAGCACAAATCCATCTTTTTCATTTATGTAATTTATATGTAATCTTTGAAAACCTATAAAAACTACACTCACTATTTTTGCTATTATTAGCATAATTAAATACGCAACATGTATTTGTACTCATTTTTGATAAAATTTATGCGTAAAAGATAGGTCCAGTTTTGTCATATTTCGCCGCCAGGCATGCTGGGATCGTTTCAAGGTACCCCTACCATGATTACACACGGAGCGAATAAGATACCTGTTAAAAGACACATGATAATTTAATAATTATATCGGTCTTAGATTTAATTAATTACTTATGTGTTTAAATAAATAATTAAAATTTTTTTTGGTACGCGTCTGCAAAATTGATAAGTGGAATATGATTTCGTTGAAAAGTTATCGTTAAGGGCTTCGTTAAGTGCGATGTTGCCAAGTAATCACCTTCAATTAAAAATTGGTTTAGTATAAAAAGGAATTTTTTTTTCAATTTCAGTTCATACAGAGAGAAAAAGGAAAAGAAATGAATCCAAGTGGGCAGTCAACACTAGAAAAAAGAATCGCAATTCAAGTAAAACTTATGTCACACGAAAAAAAGTTATTGTTGAACAGTGTCAAGTATCAACATATACAGAACGCCGTAGACTGAAGTGAAGTGTGAAGTGACCAACGTCACAAAATTAGTCGAAAGTTCTGGACTCTTGGTGATTTGAGAATACAGCAAACTTTTCTGGTTCAGAAGACATCGAAGAAACCTCCATATTACCACAGCAAACAGACTAGGTGCAGTAGAAGTGTGCAAAACCTTTTTTCTTAATATATTTGGGATCAGTGAAAGGTGTGTCTATACTGCATGTAACAAAGTTGATGAATCTGGCATTGTTTGTGATGATGAACGTGGAAAACATAACAGCCATGGCACTTTACCTCCAGATGCTGTAGAGTGAGCCAGACAGCATATTTATTCCTTTCCAGTAGTGGAGTCCCACTATCTTCATGCTCAAACGTGAAGGAAGTACATTGATAGACATTTAACGCTTGCTGAAATGTATCGTCTGTATCTGAAGAAATGTCAAAATGACCATAAAGATACTATTTTGAAAAAGAGTAAATATAGACACATATTTAACACCCAGTTTAATATTGGAATTTTCGTGCCTCGCAAGTACCAGTGTGCAACCTTTCATCAGTATATTAATTGTACTGAACTTGAAAAGAAGAATAGAGATGTAGAGTATCAATGTCATCAAGAAAAAGTAAAGTTATCGAGAGAAGAAAGATCCGAGGATGTAAAGCGCGCCAAACTGGCAGAAGAAATCAAAGTATGTGAATACAGGCTATAATTCCATTACCATCAGGTGACATGTCCAGCTTTTTCTACAAACGCCATTTAAATATCTAAAACTTTACAACTTTTGAGAATGTTTGAAAAGCAGGATTCTGTTGCATATGGGATGAGAATCATGGAAAAAGGGAGTGATAGAGATAGCAAGTTGCATTTATAGTTACATCCAGGAGCATGTTGATAAAAAGGTAAAACACTTAATATTTTTTTAACTGCTCAGCTCAAAATAAAAATAAATTTCTTGCCACAATGTACAATTATGTTCTACAAAATAGTAAAGCCTGATTTATAAACAGTCATAAACATAATTTTAGTATTTAACCATAATCTTATTATATAAGCATAATGTTGAAAGTTAATAAATAAATGTACCCATTTAAAAGCATTCATAATACATAAAACATAAATTTAGTTCTTAAAACGTGACCTTCAAAGTTGGTAACTTTCAACATTTATGAATTAAGTATTAAACATTATGGAATTGTTGGAATATGCGCATGCGTAATCCAACGAATACCTTCTTACTCTTCTTTGCTTGTTAAGAACTCTGGCAGATATAGTCGCTACAATTGTTAAATAAAGTGGGACTGCTGCCATGGCCAAAGCAACTTTTCTATTAATCTTCATATTTATTTAAAATTATTTCACTTTTCTATGAATCTAAAGACCAGAAAAAATTCTTCAAGATCTATAAAAATTTGGTTAGGTTTGTATTTTCTGAAGTAGTTTTTAAATATTATGGTTAGGTATTATGTCTAGTTATAAACCAATCTTAAATCTTGTGAATTATGATTGTGGTTAAAGTTATGTTTATGACTTATGATTATGTACTATGTCCGTTTATAAACCTGGCTTTAATCTCTGAAGACCATAATTCACAAATATCTGACAGTTGGTCACACACAGAATTCAGGTGATTCCATGCATACCTGCATTGAACATCAGTGTAAGAGAAGTCTCAAGATTTCACCTATTTACACACCTTCACAATTTGCTGGTATAGTCAGTGCAGCCAAAAAAACTGGAGATCCTTATGTCGTGAAGTAATTACACTTCATTGATTTCTATAATTTTAAGAAATTAGCTGAAGAATTTAACTTTTTTCTTAACACAGAGGACAAAGTAGAGTGGTTAAAAATAAATTTGTTAATCATGGAAAAAAAGCCAACCAAATGTAATATTTTACAAAACATCATGGAAACAGAAGGAATTTTTTAAAATACAGATGAAAACAGATACTATCTGAGAAAGAAAAAGAATAAGTACTTCAATATTAGATCCAATGTATGCAACCCCACCTGGAATTTCGATTGAAAAAAAATGATTTAATGTGGTTGCTTAAACAAAATCATATACCTAAGTCCCATGCACACTTATATGAATCATTGGTAAGCAATCATAAGCAGAATAATTTTGTTATTGATCTGCAAAAAGAAGAAAAGGAAGATTGTTCAATCCAGTATAAATATTCTTTGATATGTTATGTATTTTGGTCATTCATTTACAAATTATCATAATTTTTGTTCAATTTTTGATAATTATTAAACAATTTTATACTGTTGTGCATTCATTTTCTAATGTTAAACTGTTGTATGTTCCATCCCAGAATTTTATTTAATTATTTACAGCTGAAGAAGTAATTAATTTATAGTATTTATAAAGTCAGTTGAAACACCAAAAAAACTAGTTGCCGACAAACCTTAAAAGAATAATATCATATTACCAGACATGGGTGCATCATTTATTTCTATAATCAAATATAGATTAATGAAGAACAGAAAAAGGATAATTTTAATTTACTTAAAGCTGTCGTAAAAAGTGTATACAAAAGTTTTTAACATGTCATATTAAGCAACAAAAATAATTTATAATTAAAGGGCAATAGGCCATATTGACAGTATCATGATTTAATTATACTTCATAAAATAATAAACATTTTAGGTGTACAGCACTGGCATGATTCAACAGAGTTTCTTATCTGTACCCTTCGCCACCGTCTAGAAGAGGACCTCCAAGTAGCGTGTTAAATATTGGTGATTTTGAATAACATATCAATGTCCAATATTTATTTGATGGGATGTATCTTTCATTCCCTCTTTCTTCCATCTATTTCCTACGAACTACAGGGATTGTTCAAATGCGTTTGAAACATTGACGCATGTTATTTATAACTTAAAAACTATAATTGTTTTTAAGGTACAAAATTGTTACAATAAGTATTTGAAAAATGTATGGTAACCTTGTACACAATATTAAAAATACTGGAACCATGGCAATCTTTAAAATTCGATTATCTTGAAACTTGGTTTTGAAAGATACAACACTTATCATCTCAGGGTGTAATATAGAAAACTGTTTTCAATAGTTTCAAACCATTGAAATTAATCTATGTGAATTTAAAACAATATTTTTATATAATAGATTATAGAAAATTGTATTGAGCATTATGACAAAGCCTTGCATCTGTAAAGAATGTTCTGTTAATCTAAAATATACAGTGGCCTGCCAATTATTTTTAAAAGTTTGGGCTTTCTTCACTACTTTGTCCACTCTACAGTTGAAAATGGATAGCTGAGCTAGACAATTATAGCAAGCAAGTCATAGGGTGGACAAAGTAAACAGAAATATGCAGCAATCTATAAATTTAATCACTAAAATTATTGCTGGAACATATTTAAGGTTTTACAAATGTTAGCAGCTGTATGTAATTAAAAAAATTGATTACCCCACTGCATACTCTATATCATAACACCTTCCTTGCAGTTCAGTATGTAACTTTTCAACATCAACTCGTCGTTCAACCATGGGATTTAAAGCTTTCCTAACATGTTCCTGTAATCTATAAAATGCTAGGGATGGTTCATTAGCTACTATATGCATATTTTCAGATATTCTTTCTGTTGCTGAAATATATTCAGTTAAGTAATAGTAACATAAAATTCGTGCTTACTTACATTTTCTAACTTTTGTCTCCAAATCAATATCAGCATTAAATGCCATTTTTGGTATTTCACTTTACTATTTAATTTTTGTTTTGATAAAATATTTCTTGGATCCTTGGTATCAAACCCTGTATTTTGAATGCTGACAACCGTATTGCACGTATTGTCATGTAAAGGTTGTGAAAGTTGCATATTTTCATAACAATTTTTATTTAAATACTTCAAACTTCAAGTATAAGCGTCTATATTCTTTGCTTCAAGTAAAGGAGCGTACGTCAATCTACGACAGAACTGTAATTTAAATTTTTAAAGATTAATAATTTAGTACATTTGAAATACTTTGGTTTTCTTCAATATTGGTGCAATTGTGGTGCAATGAACATTAACCTTGTTGATATTTGATATGTTTGACATATAGTTTGATGCCAGGTTATGTTCATTGCACCAATAGACCAATAGTCCAATATTGAAGTATGCCAATACTTTAATCTATTCTTCAACTAAAAGTACGAATAAAATAGTGCCGGGTTAATTTTTCTGTGCACACAAGATAAAATGTTACTGAACAGCACTGATTCCAACTAAAACATAGCTGATTCTGTCTGTGTGTGCGAAGTGCGAACGAGATGCGGGTACTTATTTTTTTTTTTTTCAAGTAGTGGGCATTCTGATTGTTTATTATTCTCTACTGAAAGATTGGATTATTTTTTTATTTAAAAGCAAAGGCGAGTCTATGCTGATTTGGTATCTGTATATAAACTCGTTTGTAATCTTCGTTGGAGAAATCCGTGTGGCTAACTAACACCAAACCAAGCCACCAAGCTGCAAAAAATAAAGCCAAATGCAGAAATAGACTGAGAAAGATACAGGCTTAACCACGCTTAACTCCTCAACGTGCCTCAACTAAGACTAGGATCTTAGCACCAACAATGATGATAATATCAACTTTTTTAAGTCTCCTCATTAACTACTTGAAACAATTTCATTGAATTTAGAAACCTGAGATTCAATCGAATCTTTCGAATCATTTAATTATGCATGATACTAAGACAAACACTTAGTATCATGCTAATTATGCTTATGCATTACACGCGCCTATTGAAAGAATATTAAACCAGAGAACTACGAACACTTAAACGTTGAAATTGTTAACGGTATTGAAATTTTGGGCATTTCCTGGTCTAGATTTAAGAGGCAAATTAGAGAATAGGTTTGAAGCAGTGTAATAAAAATTATTATTTGTGTTCGTTTTTTACTATTATGTTGATTGTTGTACGGTTAGAGTAAGTACAAAGTCAAGTAGATAAACCCATTGTTTTAACATTTTTTTCTGTAATATGGTTATAAATAAATAAATAAAAGTTTACTACGTAACTGGTTTTTCGTACAATTGTAGCCAAACTAGCCATCTTCGATGACAATCGGAATCTACCGAAAGGGCATTTCAGTTTCAGTTGTTAAGTATGAAATAAAGGTAATTAAATCCTAGAAATCCTCGATTTAAAGACCTTAATTATTGGTTGTATAGTTCATAAGCTGTAATTTATTTGTCTGGTTTCCAATAAACTTTGTGGAGTTTAGCATTCAATACAATACTGAACATACCTTAAGTATTTTTAACTTATGACGTTACATATGTCGCAATTCGCAATTTCCTTTTCCTTATTTCCTTTGGGTTGGTCTTCAGGTTTGCGAAAGGTATGTTAGGATTATTTATTATTTTGTTTTATATATTTGAACAATTTACCATCTGCATTATATATTTTAAGATATTATATTGAAATTTATTGTTTAAGTAGTGTACGGATGAGTTCTAATTCCATGTAGCATCTACATGTATTATTAGTCTTGTTAATCTAGTCGTAGTCTGTAGTTCAGCGCAGCAGTGACAGTAAGCAAATTACTATATTTTACGTTTTATCAAATTTTAAGTTTTTTTTGTGTAAGTACAGCAAATTGATGATTTCGTTGTAAAAATGAAAAATTTGGCGTTAATTTACAATATGAATTGTGTAATTATCTGTAAGGTAATACCATTATATCTAATAATTTTTAAAATGGGTGTGGCTCCTTAAACTACAATTTCAGATAAAAAAAATGCATTGTGAATGTTGAAGTATGAACTTATTCGTTTATCCATCTGCCCATTTTAGGTATCTGCATTTAAATTTTCACGTAATATATATATTCAAAGCAATTATACCAGATTTTTACGCTGCAGCTAAAAATTAATATCAACCTTACTAATGGACCCATTTTCGTATCATTGGTGCTATTACGTCCTTCAAACTCATACAAATTTAGCGTGTATTACATATTTTAGTTGTCACTCCTGTCCTTTATTAAATTTTGACCCATTTTCATATCAGTCAGTGGTGCCTTCAATGTCCTTCAAACTCCAACAAATTTACTGTGTATTACAAAGTTCACTTGTCACTCCTGTCCTTTGTTGTCTGTATCACCACATGTTGAAAGCCTCCAACTTTATAGATACCTCTCACAGTCCAAGCTTGCACTTCATATAACAAAAACTGGAATTATGTAGCATTTATGCACTGATCAATAGGTATGGGTACCTGGAAACACAGGCATAGAATGGAATGAATGACCTGATACTCTTGCATCCTCACCTGTGGGACTCTAACCTGTGATTGGAGTGCCCTTCAATACTTGTCGGGGTAGTCTCAAAGAGCTTCTTCTACAGATGTTCCAAGACTCCTGGACCAGTTGTGTAGGTATGAGGTAGGCTAGGCTCCATCCAAAAGTCTTATAACTTAACTTCTTCTAGACCATAAAAGATGCTCTCTGGTGGTCAGTATGCTTACAGGCCACTGTAAATCAGAATGGTAGGAAGGGCTCAAATTTGGTACCCCTGCTGATTATAGCAGATATGGGAGCCTGGAGCAGTATTGGCCCCAGAAACGCTTAAAACTAGGTCCTTATGGGCCTAATCCGTGTGATACCATGGACTCATGTTAGGAGATCTACTCATAAATGGGCCCTGTACAGATCTACCATGACCATGTAGCATTTCAGAAGTAATTTTGTTGGTAGTTGGTGGTCTTGAAATTAAAAAATAGGAGTTCATTTTAATGCCTGCTGATTTGGCCTTTCCTATCCTTTGTTTTATGTCTACAGAATGGTAACATCCACTATTTGCATTGGCACCGAGGTTAGGTTTAATATGAGTGGGCACTTAACCACCCAACTTAAATTTATTCTAGCTGTAATTGGTACTGAGATATCTGTAGCTTTCCACTTTATAATTTGTTGATGGTTTACCACTAGCATTTAATATTGTGTGCTTACTGACAACCATTTATTAGGTATCTTTTATATTCAGGTCTAGTGATTTTTTCTTTCTCCCTGGGCCCATCTGATCAAAAAGATCTCTGTTATCAGTGAACCTGAAGCTTATTGTGATTAATGCCCATTATGGTTTCCTACACCCAGTCTAAAATTTTTGTACCCTTTTAGAAGGTCTTTTCCTTCGTGTGTTGTAAATATACAAGGGTCTCCTCCTGGTTGCTGGTACAGTTTTTGTCTTTTATGGTCTAGTACCTCACAATCACATAATATATGTTTTACTGTTTCTAGTTCCTTATCATATAGTCTGCAGTTAAGTTTCTATTGTAAATGTCTATTTTATTAAGGAATTTTCTACTGGTGCATGCATGGTCAACATTCATATTACTGTTATCAGTTTGTTCCTACCTATATAAAACAGTTCCTCTGTTCTTTTTCTACGTGGTCCACAAATAAAGATTTTTCCATATGTTTGTTTTGGGATTCTCTCCCAATATCGCCCATGACTCTCTGTGATCCAGTCCTCTACAGCCCTATGAACTGCAGCCTTTGGTATTCCCAGAGTTACAGCTGGTTCATTTGATTTGTTCATTCCTTATTTTGCAAGTTGATCTGCGTTTTCAATGACTTCGGTGCCCTGATGTCCTGGTACACAGACAAGTACAACCTTATTCTGTCTCGTAGGTCATTTAGTTCTTTGATGCAGTTCCACACCAACCTATACATCACTTCCTGACATACCAGTGCTGTGTGACTGTCAGAAAACATATGGATCTGCTCTTTTTTAAGATCTCTCATGATTTTCTTTTGCACATTGCAGTATCGCATAAATCTTTGCTTGAAAACAATGCAGTTTCTGCCCGAGACAAAGCTTCCGCTAATTATTGGATTATTGGATCCCTGTATACCAGTTCTTGCCCTATTGGTTATGGTACTCTTTGTTTCTCCATACTGAGTCCATGTCTGGAATAGACACCCTATATGAATTCTTAAAATTTTTTTTTATATGTAATCAGATTTCTTATTAAAAATGTCATCTGTCACAGACTGATATGCCCTGTCCCTTCATTGCAAAGTTTCAGTGATTGTTTTATTCTGTAGGCTTCCAATCTTGCTTCTCATTGTATTATCAAAGGTCTAACCATATAATCTTACTTCTGTTATGTGAGTCATTAATGTTTGTAGTTCTTTCATACTCCTGTAAACACAACTGTATAATATCATCTACATTGTACATGCTGTTGTTAAGCCTGTCTTCATTCATTACAATTCATCTATCCATAACTATAGTATGTTTAAAAATTTTTTCTGATATATTAATGAGATGAGAGGACAATATGCAACCCTAGTCCTACTTGTATTGTACTGTTTATATATATATATATATATATATATATATATATATATATATATATATATGTGTGTGTGTGTGTGTGTGTGTGTGTGTGTGTGTGTGTGTGGTAAGCCACAATTCAGCTTCTAAAATAATATTTTAAAGTTTTCAAAAACTACCATATCATTTCATACAACCGGTCCATAATGGAATATTGCAAATTTTAACCAGTAATAACAGTTCAACTGTATACAATACTTCCGATTTTATGCAGTTTTACTACAGAATAATAAACAATCAGAATGCCCACTCTCCATGGAAAATTAAGTACGCGCATTTCCTTTGCGCAGACGTTCCGCCATGTTTTAGAGGGAACTAGTGTTGTTTATGTGGTGTGCATAGAAAAATTAACCCGGTTTAATTGAATTACGGAAATCATAAACATACTATACAATTATATTAACATTGTTAAATATAATAACATAAATATAATTATAATTAAACATAAATATAAACAATTACATAACCTC